GTGTGTGAGTGTGTGTGTGTGTGTGTGTGCGCATTGCCAACATACATCCATATGGAAGATTTGACGAGGAGGGATGTTAGCAAATAAAACCGTCCACCGACTAATATTTGCCGATACGACGCTTTGTGTGGGGATTTGTTAACTCTTTTTGTCACTGTTGCTACTGAAATACCATCATTACACGCTTTAAACTTTATATACATGCTCTAAAATTTCTCTCTCTCTCTATTTTATTTTTCTCAAAATAAACCCCGAAAAAAGGAATATTCCTGACAAATAAAATGAAGAAAGTTAAATTAAGTTCCTTTGTACGAAGTACAGAAAAGTATTTTGTTGGGAAGAAAAATAAAAAAGGAATAATTTCTTTCCAAGGGAATTGAAAAAAAAAGAATGTTTCTTGTCTGACTGATACCGACTATTTCTACTAATTTAACTATTTTTACTAACCCAGCTAAAAAAGTTCTATAGAATTTCCTTGAATCATTCTATATACATGAATTCTAGTGAATATTCTGCAGAATTTCATAGAATCATTCTATACATGAATTCTAGTGAATATTCTACAGAATTTCACTAAAATGATTCTACAGAATTTCTACATGAATTTTACTAAAATTTAGTTATTTTTAAAGAATTTAAATTCGTGAAATAATATTTTTCAACTTTGTATATGTGTCATTGAATGAGAATATTGTATTTCTTCAAAATTATTTTTATCATTTCAATTAAATTATTATTTTGAAGAATTTTTCCCCAAAATTTTTCTTTAAATCAATTAATTTTCAAAAAAGTTCTACAATTTTCAAAATCTATTTATTTACATTATTCAATGTTGCAAATTCCAATTATTTGTAAATTCTTGAATTAAATATATATTAGAAAATAAAAACTTCAAATAATATAAAAAAAATTCAATTACATTTTTAAAAAAAAAATTAATTTTAAAATTCAATTATTTCTAAAAATCAACGCTATATTGCTTTTAAAATTCAATTATTATCTAAAATTTGAACTGAAATTAATTTTTAAATCAATTTTTATTAGAAAATTCTACTAGAATTCAAATATTTAAATACAAAAGTAAATTATTTATTGAATAATTGAATGTTTCTTAAAATTTAATTCTTGTAAAGAATTTTATTAACAAATTTTTAAATAATTTAATTCTATCGACGAATTTTAATAAAAAAATTTTAGAATAGTTACATTTTTCAAGGAATTTGATTAAAATTGTATTACAAATAATTTAAATACTGCAATGAGTTTTATTATTTCTGAAAATAATTGAATTATTGAGGAGAAACTTATAAAAAATTTGTAAATATTTCAATTCCTGTGAAATTTTTATTATTTATGCGAAAATAATTAAATGTTTGCGTACAATTTTATCAAAATATTTATAAATAATTAAATTCTTTCGACGATTTTTAATAAAATTTTTAAGAATTTAAGAAATTTAATTTCTGCTATAATTTGTAACTTCTCGAAAATTAAATTTTTTTTAGTATTAACTAAAATTTTTCTATAAATCCATTATTTTTAATAATTTTTGAAATAGTATTTTTACTATTATTATATTTTAATAATATTTACATTTATTGAGGAATTCGATCAAAATTTTATTAAAAATAATTGAAATTTTGACAAAAAAAATAAAAAAAAAAATAAAATAAAATAAAAATAATAAAATTCGTAAAATTCGTAAAATAAAAATTATTTTACGAAATTTATATTCCTTCTAATTAAAAATCACTAAAAGTTAGTAGAATTCATGTCGAAATTTTATAGAATCTTATACTACTAATTATAATGTCACAAAAATAGTGAAAATTTGTATGACTGAAATTGTTTGTATCACTTATTTTTTAATATTAAAAAGAGAAAATTTGTCTGAATAGAAATGTTCATTTCTACGTGTTATAGCTTTTGTAGGAAAACAATATAGTTCGGTCTGACTAAAAACAGTTATACTACTAATTATAAAGTAATTAAAAATAACTAAAATTTGTCTGTCAAAATTTTTTTCTATCACTTATTTTTATTATTAAAGGAAAAAATAATTTGTCGGACTTAAAAATGTCCTTTACTACTAAATTACTAATTATCATTTTGCAAGAAAACAAAATCGTTTTGTCAGACTAGAAAAAAATGTTTATACTACAAATTCTAAAAGTTACAAAAATAGTGAAAATTTGTCTGATTAAAAATGTTTTTTCTTACCACAAGTAGTAGGAAAAAACACTTTTAATCAGACAAATTTATATTACTTATGCTGATAAAATAATAAAAATAATTAGTTTGACTATATATATTTTTAACTACCAAGAAAAGAATAGAAATTCGTATTGTCTGACTAAAAAATTTTGTACTGCTAAAAAATATTCTTTACTACTTGTCATAAATTTTCTTGAAAACCAAATTATTCTTTTAGAATAAAACTATGAATTTAACTAAAATAATTTATATTTCAAAAAAAAAAATTTACCATCAAAAAATTAAATAAATAAAATAAAAAATAAATAAAAAATAAATAAATAAATAAAAAATCGATAGTAAAAACGAATTTACCTAATCGTCGACCCTTTGAACACTAAATTTGTTAATTAATAGCTTATTATTGTAATAAAAGGGTATAAACCCGTAAAATTTGTAAAATTAAAAGAATAACAATAATAACATTTACTTTTTTTCTATAAGGAAGAAAAAGCACAATACCTGAAGAAAAGTGGTTTGAAAATAGCCGGATCTGTATCAATCTTGGCTTTAGAGTTAATAACAGAAGAATAGTAACAAAAATATTTGTTGAGAGGTAGAAAAAAAAATTGTTAGCCAGAGTGTAAAAGTAAAATCGAGCAGAAAACAATTTTGACGTGAAACAAAAGGCACTTGTACTTAGGAAATGAAGAACAAGAGAGAAATAAGAGAAAGAGTGTATTTTATATAAGTCTCGGTTTTATATATATATATATATAGCCAAAACCCAAGTTGAAGTGGATAAGTAGAAAAATCGATATCCGGTATTTGAACAGGCACCCTTTTCATTCGCGACTCCTGACGGTTCCATATAGTCTGTTACTTTCAACATTTTCTTTCTCCTCCCGCGTTGCTCTACTGCTTCCAACCATGTTCTTCTAACTTTCCTACCAAAGGAATAGTACTTAACCAAAGACGATCTATCTCCAAAGTGCTGCTACTCTACTCGACCCCATTTATGACATACCTTAACTCATCCATGCTGATTCTTTCTTTTAAGAAAAATCTTGAAACAAACTGCACTCAAGTCCCCATGTATCTCTGGGCTTCAACTTGCTTCACTACTAGGTTTTTTTCTTTTTTTCTCTTTTTTTTTGCTTTTTTTTTTTTTTTTTTTTTTTGCACCTCGTACGTTCAAAGTAAAGTGAATTGAGAGATGCTTTATATAATAATTATACAGAGACGCAACGCTTTGTGGTAAAAGAAAAAACTCGTCCAGTAAAATGAAGTTTTACTAGAGGACTTTTTTTTGTTGCTTTTTTTAGCTTTTAGACGAAAAGAGCAAGTAATGGGAGTACAATGTCGTTAGGTGTGTAACTAAAATTGAAAACTCAAATAAATTGGACATTATATAAGAAAATGGACAGTAATGTAATTAATCTAACATTAATAATTATTAACGTTAGATTAATTATATTACTTTCCATTTTCTAATTTAATTTCCAATTTATTTGATAATTATATTTATTTTATAATTTAATAATTTTACATATTAGTAATATTGCTGATATTTATATTTTAGATGATTAATTATTTTAATTAATAATGCTAAGTAACTATATTAACTAATAATTAATTAATAATAATTATTAGTAATACTATTCATATATTAATTTTTCAAATTAATAATTATTTATTAGTTAATTGTTACAGAATTGTCTAAGTAGTGAAAGACAAATATTGTCAGACATTTTTTATTAAGCAGTTTACACCAATATTAGTCAGACAATAAGATATTTTTTATAGAATAAAAATGATTGTCTGACTAAACACATTTTTTACTACTAGCTTATCATTTTGCAAGGAAATAAAAGCGTACTGTCTGACTAAAGAAAAATTATTCTACTGATTTTAGTGTTACAAAAATAATTAAAGTTTGTCTGACTGAAACTTTTTGTTCCACTAATATTAATATTTGTGGAGAAAAATAAATTGTCTGACTAAACATGCTTTCAACTACTAGTTATATTTTATCAAAGAGGCAACATCGCCCTGTCTGACAAAAATAATGTTATTCCACTAATAATAGAAATATAAAAATAAAAATTTGTTGTCTGACCAAATTTTTTTATATCACTTATTTTATTTTTACGAGAAAAAAAATGTTTTGACTAAAATTATTTTTAACTACTAGTTATCAATTTGTAGAAAAAAAAATTTCTGTCTGACTAAAATAATCTTTTACTTCTAAAGATAAAGTTCTGAGAATGCAAAAGTTTGAATGACTGCAACTGCTTATATCACTTATTTTAATATTGTCAGAAAAAAAATCCGTTTCACTAAAAAAGTTTTTTACTAATAGTTATTATTTAAATAAACAAAATCCTACTGCCTGATTAAAAAAATTTACACTACTAATTATAAATAATATTAATTTGAAATTATCACTCGGTTGCTTTTAATATTGCTCATTGTAGAGTTAGATAATTTTTTAAGTAGTAAAAGACAATTATAGTCAGACACTGACTAAAAAATATTTTTTACTACTAGTTATCATTTTACAAGAAACCAAAATCGCCATGTCTGACTAAAAAATCTTATACTACTAAATTATAAAGGTACATAAATAATGAGAATATTATTATTTTCATTATTACTCTTATTTTTAATATTACTACTACTTTTATTATTATTATTATTATTATTATTATTTATTATTAAGATCAGTATTAATATTAATAAAATTTAAAAAATTAAGTTTTCAATTTCATTAAAAATATATTTTCAAAAATAAAATTCAAACTTACGAAAAGATTTTCAATATTGCAAACTGGTAACACTGACCTGAAACAAAAAAAAATACGAAATTATTAAACTGTTTTCATTTTATACAGAAATTTATGTGGAAATTTTACTGTATGAAAATAGAAAATAGTATATAATCGAACGTCCTGGATTATTATTATTATTATTATTATTATTATTATTTTAATTAATAATTTTTTATACAGAAGAAAGAAATAAAAAATTTTGGAAAATATATATTTTTAGTCTAATTAAAAAAGTCAAAATAATGATGAAAGTTTGTCTGACTGAAACTTATTGTTTCACTTATTTTTTTATTTTTACAAGAAAATAAGAATTTGTCTGACTATAAATGTTCTTTGCTACTAGTTGTCATTTCGCAAGTCAAAATTATCGTATTGTCTGACTAAAACAATCTTATACTACTAATAAAAAAAGTTACAAAAAGTAAAAAATGTTGGTCTGACCAAAACAATTTTGTATCACTTACTGTCACACTCCTGATAATAAGTTTATTTAAAATGTTTTTTAAATTCAATTATTTTCCAAATTTGCAATTAGAATTCTTTAAAAATACGATTACATTACAAAATAATTTTTAAATGTAAACAAAAAAAAATTCATTAAAATATAAAATTTATCTCAATGAAATTTGATAAAATTTTCAATTGTTTCAATTTTTTAATAATTATTTTCGGAAATTTAATTTTTTAATTAATTTAAATTTTTATTTAATTTAATTAAATTTTTTAATTTTTTTTTAATTAAATTATTAAAAACTTATTCTTATTTATTTTTTGACAGGAATTAAAATCTCATATAATTTCAATGAAAAACCTTTTAAAATTGAATTATTTCTAAAAATTGCAATTGCAATTCTTCCAAAATTTAATTCTTTTTTTTTAGAATTTTTCAATTAAATTTTTCAAAACTTTAAGAATTCTGAAAGAAAAATAATGTAGTTGATAATTTTTTAAAATAAAACTTTACTAATTTAATTATATAATATTATTAATATTATTAATATTAATATTATTAATATATTATTATTATTATTATTATTATTATTATTATTATTATTATTATTATTATTATTATTATTATTATTATTATTATTATTATTATTATTATTATTATTATTATATTATTATTATTATTATTATTATTATTATTATTATTATTATTATTATTATTATTATTATTATTATTATTATTATTATTATTATTATTATTATTATTATTATTATTATTATTATTATTAATATTATTATTATTTAATTATACTTTTGCTTCTCTTAAATTTTCAAGATATTTAATTTAAAAACCTTTTAAAATTTAATTAATTCCTAAAATTCCTGTTATAATGCTTTAAATATTCAATTATTTTCTAACATTTTAAATGAAATTTTTTTTAATCAATTGCTATCAGAATTCAACGACGAGAACTAAATTATTTAAATAGAATAATTTTCGTAAATTTATAAAATAATGTTTTTTCAAAAATCCAATTATATTTATAGATTGATTTATTGATTCAGCATTGAAAAGATTTTATTTATTTCAAACTCTTCCTATTTTTAACAATAATCGAACTTTACAGATTTAAAATTGAATTTTGGGAATAATTTAACTTTGAACTATCGAGAAAAAATTATTTTTTATGAATTATTTTGAAATAATTTTTTATTTAAAAATTCAAAAAATAATTGAATTTTATAAAATTTGGGTATTTAATTTTTTTTTTATAAAGTTTGTAAATAAGTAGCAAATGTCTCAACCGCCAAACGAAGTATTTAATTTATTATTATTATTATTATTATTATTATGTTAATTATGTAAAATCCAAATTTTTTTATTTTCAAATTTATTTGTGTATAATTTTGGATTTAAAATAAAAAAATTTATCTTTAATAAATTTCTTCAACAATATTCAATTTCTTTTTTTAAATTTGATAAAGTTTTTTGCATAATTATTCTCAATAGAATTTTAATTGCGAATTACTCAAAAGAATTCGATTATCTTTACAAAATTCAAATAAAAAATTCTTCGACAATGAAAAGTTACAAAAATGTTAAATAAAAAAAAAATACATAAATAAAAAAAAAATTAATAATTAAATTAATTAAATAATTAACAAGTTGTTCATTTCATGACCATTTAGCTTCCTCAATGTATAAAAATTGCGGTTTTGCAAACTTTTGAAAAACTATGTACAAAAGGGTTCGTCGAGAAGATTTGTTAAAAATAAAATTATATAAATCATTTATAATTTATAATTTGTTATATAAATATTTGGTGAAATTTACACTTTGATTTGCCAATTGCTTCTTTTTTATGCTAGAATAATCATTTCAAAATATTAATATTAATATTAAATAAATTATGAAAAACATACAAAATTTGAATTTTTTTTTAAAAAGAAAAATATTTATTAATTTGATAAATTTTGATAAAATATATACTTTGTATACATCAATCGATTCGTTTTCTTGTCAGGAATGTAATTTTGAGAATAATTAATGAGTCCATATAACCTTCTTTTGAAAAATTGAAAATCGTCACCAATGCAAAGCTTCCTCATGAGGAAGCAATAATTAAATTAAATTAATTAATTAATAAATAATTTAATAAATTAATTAATTAATAAATAATTTAATAAATTAATTAATTAATACTTAATAAATAAAAAAAATTAACTTCAGGTTTGGACAGAATACGACGATTTTTATAGTTAATTTTGCAGTAACCTGGTAAAATAAAAAAAATTGAAATAATTTATATTGCTTCCTCATAAAGGGAGCCTTATAGTGAGGTCGATTTCCGAATTTTTTAGAACCAATTATTTTTACAAATTTTATAGTGTAGTATATATAATTCGTCGAGAGGAACAAATGTCCGGATGTATGTGTGTGTGTGTGTGTATGTCACCGATTCTTGTGGACAAATTTTCTCTTACACGTCTTGACGGATTTTGATAAAATTTTGTAGGTGTATTACGGTAACGAATACCAAAAATCAGTCAAAAGGATTTTCAAAAATATCTAAAAAAAAATTTGTTTTCAACAATTTTTTAATTTTTGAAAAAATAATTTTTGGATTTTTTGAAGTAACTTTTTTCTATATTAAAATTTTTATTAATTGTTGTCAAAATTGCATTCCTGACATAAAAACGAATCGATTCATGTATATAAAGTATATATTTTATCAAAATTTATAGAATTAATAAATATTTTAAATTTTCACAAAAAATTGAAATTTTGTACTTTTTAACATTTTATCTTAACACTTTAAAATAATTATTCTAAAATAAAAAATTAAACAATTGGTATATATTATATTGAGGAAGCTTAATGATCATGAAATGAACAACTTGTATAATTCGTCGAGAGGAACAAATGTCCGGATGTATGTGTGTATGTATGTGTGTGTGTGTGTGTGTGTATGTCACCGATTCTTGTGGACAAATTTTCTCTTACACGTCTTGACGGATTTTGATAAAATTTTGTAGGTGTATTACGGTCATGAATACTAAAAATCAGACAGAAGGATTTTTAAAAATATCTAAAAAAAAAATTTTTTCAACAATTTTTTAATTTTTGAAAAAATTAATTTTTGGATTTTTTAAAATAACTTTTTTCTATATTAAAATTTTCATTAATTCTTGTCAAAATTGCATTCCTGACATAAAAACGAATCGATACATGTATATAAAGTATATATTTTATCAATATTTATAGAATTAATAAATGTGACGCGACACGGGAAAAGGGATGGCGTCGCTTTAAACGCTCTCCCTGTAAAATTCTCTTTTGAGGCGATAGGTCCCTTTTCTCGTGTCGCGTCACAAATATTTTAGATTTTCATAAAAAAATTGAAATTTTGTATTTTTTGAAATTTTATCTTAATACTTTAAAACATTAATTTTTATTTTTATTTATTAAAAAGAAGATTTATTAATTATATTTAATAAACTATTATAATTATTTAACTTTTAAAATTATATATAATAATATATTTTAGTAGTAGCACCCTCACCCGAACTCCTTCAGACAATGAAAATTGGTAAAAACGAAAATAAAAAATTATTTCATCCAAATTTATTTAATCTAATCATCTGAAAATTACCAAAGCTCTAGTAGGGACTAAACCCTAATTAATCCTTAAGAATAGAGAATTTTATTTTAATTTTCTAGTAGTAGCACCCTCACCCGAACGCTATCAGACAATCCTAATTTGATAAAAAGGAAAATAAAAATTTATTTCATCCAAATTTATTTAATCTAATCATCTGAAAATCACCAGAGTTCTAGTAGGGACTGAGCCCTACCCAATCCTGAAGAATAGAGAATTTTATTTCAATTTTTAAGTAGTAGCACCCTCACCCGAACGCTATCAGACAATCGAAATTTGGTAAAAACGAAATTAAAAATTTATTTCTTCCAAATTTAATAATTCTAATCATCTGAAAATCACCAGAGTTCTAGTAGGGACTGAACTCTGTACAATCCTGAAGAATAGAGAATTTTATTTGAATTTTTTAGTAGTAGCAGGTCCACCCGTATGCCATCAGACAATCAAAATTTGGTAAAAAGGAAAATAAAAATTTATTTTATCCAAATTTATTCAATCTAATTATCTGAAAATTACCAGAGTTCTAGTAGGGACTAAACTCTATACAATCCTGAAGAATAGAGAATTATATTTGAATTTTTTAGTAGTAGCAGGTCCACCCGTACGCCATCAGACAATCCTAATTTGATAAAAAGGAAAATAAAAATTTATTTCATCCAAATTTATTCAATCTAATCATCTGAAAATTACCAGAGTTCTAGTAGGGACTGAACCCTACACAATCCTGAAGAATAGAGAATTTTATTTGAATTTTTTAGTAGTAGCAGGTCCACCCGTATGCCATCAGACAATCAAAATTTGGTAAAGACGAAAATAAAAATTTATTTCATCCAAATTTATTCAATCTAATCATCTGAAAATTACCAGAGTTCTAGTAGGGACTAAACTCTATACAATCCTGAAGAAT